AACTATACTTGAACCTTCTTAAAACTAAACATCACTTTAATTAGTCAAGAATGTCTGCCTTTAGCATTGTACTCTCTTAAGATCTGTCTAGACAAGATGAAACACAATAGTAGTTTGAAGAATTATACAGCAATCTTAGGGAGCATTTCACAATGGAAAAGAAAACTCTAGAAGGGGGGAGAAATAGTTGCACTATCAGAATGTAATCACTGTTGCTTATTTGTACACGTAAAAAATTTTGGCATTAGTGTATGTTCTGCTGTGTTCGTTCTCAACAATAAAAGAATATAAAAGTAATTAAGAAAAAGTATGTACTTCTTTCTAGTATTATCAGCAGTAGCCAAGCTAAGGCTCAGAGTGACTAGGCTTTATATTAAAAAAAATAACGCTACTTTCGGTTAATACAAGTAAACAGGGTAGCCGCTGTGGAAAAGAGGATAATGGTAGACTGAATTAGCTATTTGCAGCTTTTCTATTATAGTGTAGGTCCCTTTATGCTATGTGAAAAGACGGTATTGTCAGGACAGGACACATGAAAGAGTTGGAATAGACCTAGAGTTGTGAATATATAATTCTGCCTCCTTCATCAAATTAGGGATTTAATAACAGGATTCAAACTGTTTCTTGACTACTGACCATGATCAATGTTATAATTAAAGACTAAGAATCAAGAAAGAATGAGATTAAAGGTAACTTTTAAGTTTATCAGTGCCTTCACCAAGAGAATACATCTCTAGATTTATTTTTCTCCTAGAAAGATTACTCAGGATCTGAATTTGAGTCAGTGTCTAGAAAGAATCTTGGGAAGATGAACAAATCAAGATAAAGAAATCTGAGAGTCACTAAAGAGAAAACAGCTAGATATATGATTATTCATTATAGCTATTGTTAGTTGGATGATGGCTGAAAGCAGAGAGTACCAGAGGAATTTCCCATTTGTTTCATCGATTATGCAAAGGCATTTGGCTGTGTGGATCACAACAAACTGTGGATGACTCTGAGAAGAATGGGAATCCCAGAACACTTGTGTTTATGAGAAACCAATACTTGGACCAGGAGGCAGTGTCAGAACAGAGTAAGGGTTCAAAATCGGGAAGGGTGTATTCCAGGGGTGTGTCCTATGCCATATCTGCATAACTATATGCAGAATATATCATCTGGGAGGCTGGGCTCTAAGAGGAGGAATGTGGCATTAGGACTGGAGGAAGACTAAGCAACCACCTGTGTTATGCAGATAAAACCTTGTTTGCTGAAACTAAGGAGGGCCTGAGCTTTTGCTGCAGAAGGTCAAGGACTGCAGCCTTCAATATGGATTGAAGCTCAACATCAAGGAAACAAAGATTCTCATTAGCAGGCCAACTCGCAGCACCATACTGTGATTTACTGCCTCTGGAAACCTGCTGGTAGGTCAGCTATGACTTGATTCAACTTGACAATGCATAACAGCAAGAAACCTCTTTAAAGAAAAACAGAATAGAATGCTTAAGAGTAAATTTAAAACCACTATGAGATAGCATCTCACCCAAGTAAGAATAACAAAATTTAACAGAACAACAAGCAGCAAATGCTGGTGAGGTTGTAGAGAAACTAGAAACCCTTATTCACTGGTGGAAGTGTAAAATGGTGCAACCACTCTGGAAAGTGGTATGGCGCTTTCTCAAAAAGTTGCAAATAGAGATACCGTTTGACCCAGCAATTCCACTACTGGGAATATACCCCAAAGAGACCATAACTGACATTCAAGCAGATAAATGCACACCATGTTTATCATGGCTTTGTTCACATACAAGGAGTTGGAAACAACCTAAGCGTCTATCAACAAATGAATGGACAGAGAAACTCTGGTATATTCACACAATGGAATACTATGCAGCTTTAAAAAACAAGGAACTCATGCAATACTATTAAAAATGGGTGACCCTGGAGGACATTATGCTGAGTGAAATATCTCAGTCACAAAAGGAGAAATACTGGATAGTGTCACTCTTGTAAAACAGAACTGATATAGGGATTGTGGGGAGACTCAGAAAGATGGGATAAATAATGTATACCGCATTGAAACGGATGGGGGAGAAAACTGTTTAAAAGGGATATGTAATTAGGTATTACAAAGACTGCATAATGGAGTGGACCTTGGGGGAGAGATTGTAAAACAATGAAAGAATTTTTTTTCTACTTTTCAAAGAGAAGTGTGTACTGGGGGTAGGGGAGGGGTCAGCAGGGAGAAAAGTGCGACAATGAATGAAAGGAAATCCAAAGTCTTTGCAAATTTTCATTAAAAGTAATAATAATAAAATTTTTTTAAAAAGAGTAAATTTAATAGTAAACCAAGAGGCAAACAACATACTACTACAGTACAAAGAAAATGCTATCAAACTAGTAAAGTTAAATGATCTATCTGTTAAATTTTTCAATAACGCTAAGATTTAGTCAGCAGCGCTGAGCAGAGCACTTGGTGGAAGATATATCAAAGAACATTGACAAAGACTAAGTGACACAAACAATCTAAGAACCTTACTATTTTCCTAGTAATAAGATGTGCTAGTGGCACAGTAGTTAACATATTCAGGTTACTAATCCGCAGTGTTGGAGCTCACTAGCTGCTTCACAAAAGATGGAATAGTTTACTTCTGTAAAGATTGGTGTCTTGGCTACCCCAGGGGTGGTTTTTACTAAGAGTGGAATCAACTTGACAACAACGGTACTTTCACTGATTTTTCAGAGCCTTTACTTTGCTATAAAATTGAAATTTTGTGATATTTAGTATCATTATATGAATTTTATTCACAATATAGCAAATGAAATGGTTATAATGTACTGGACTAGCACTATAATATATATGAAAAGGTATTAAACTGGGTAGAGCTGAAAATAACACCAGTCATACTGAGAAATGTAATTCTAAAATAAAAACACTCAGATTAAAATGGTATTTCATATACATTATGTATAATATTAAAATTCAAATTCAGAATTGTTTTTATCATTTAAATTGAATATTCCAACACAAGAATTACATAATGTATATCTATCGAAATAGGGGTTAGCTAACTGAAATATTTGCAAAGATGACACCCAAGGAATGTCTTTACATATAATTCTCTATATAATGATTGAGAACTGGTTGGAAAGCTAAGCTAGAAAAATAATAATGAAACTCTGCTTTGGTGAAAAAATTCTACTATAGCACTACAAGCACTAAAACTGGTGGACAGAACAGGCAAAAAGGCAATTAGAATTCAGTAAAATGATGGACAGTGTATCACTGGAATTAAGATCACATGCATTAGAATCACATTACTGGGTGTTAAAACCCAGTTCTGTCAATTACTAGGTATGGAACCTCAAAGTGCATTTCTTAGGCCTCTTGTTTTTTCGTCTTTAAAATGTGGATAATAGTAGCTATCCCAAAGCTGTTTTAAGTTAAATAATCCATGTAAAGGGTTATACAAGGGCTTAGCACAGAAATGCCTATGCCCAGCACATAACAATTTGTTCTCACTGCCCCCACAGTTTTGAGCCTTTGTTCTTGTTTCCTTAATTGTATAGAAGGCTTGGCTAGATAATTTCTGATGCTTTTAACTCACATAAAATTAAAATTCTACAAAGTATCAAAACATGTAGGGCCAAATCTAAATTTCCTAAGAACTATATTATGCTTTGCATAATTATCCATACTGTAATTTCAATGACATTAAAGAATCCATCCATTAGAAACAAGTTATAACTATATTAATGATAAAGTTATATATATTTATACAATCCATAATAAATCCATACATTTCCATTATCCAACTAAGCAAATGCTATTCCAGAGTACAGCACCAAAACTATCATAGTACGATTTTAAATTAAAGATGAATGTCATATAACTGACCACACGAATGTTGTTACATATTTTAAGAGTCTACTCTGTAATTCTTCCTTTTCCTAATATAATGTCTAAAAATATCTGGTGACTTCAACAATATCTGAACAAGTCTCAGCAGGAACCTAAAGTAAGTTATCCTAATATTTTATTATTATAAGCACATATCATATCTTACTTATTAAACAGAAAAGGGAACACAATTTAAAAATTCAAATAGATTGTTCAGGAAAAAAGATTGAAATGCTATTTTCAAACAATCCAAAGTATATAGATTTACTAAATCTCTTTACTGATTTAGTAACAATTATAACCTCAAATGACAAGTGAATCTTTTTTACTAGGGGAATAGTATCTTTTTGGGGAGTGGCTTATAAATACTTTAAAAACCTAACATTTTGACATTATGATTAAAAAAATTCCATACATTTATTTGAAGCAAACTATAGGCACATTAACCACACATCAGCACTAATATATACTTTCAATCAGAGATTTATTTTTCCTTAATATTGGAGAATTTTTTTTCACATACTCTTGAGACATCATCAAGTAATTTAAAAAAAAACAAACTAGTTTTAGGTAAGATTTGTACATCTTAACAAAAAAAGAGATAATAAAAAATTTTAAAATTATCTTTCCAGTATAGTATGTGGAGGAGCTCAGGTCTAATTTAGGGACATTCCACAATTTTTAAGTTTGAAATGCATACTTAACTGGTTTATTATATATCCTAGCATGAAAGGGTCACAGGAATAAAATTACTTTTGCACATTATTGTGAACGTTTTATTATGTTGTTCTTAGTAGTAAGATAGAAGGTGTATTAAAATCTGAAAAGCTAATAAGCTTTTAAATCAGAAAACCCATTATCAGTCAACAATCATGGCTCATTTGGATATTAAAAAAAAGTAGGGTTAGTACCATGGGGGCTTAAAAAAAGGAAAGAGAAAACCTCATTGCTGTTTTAATGTAAGTTTTCTTTCAAGAAACCCATATCAACAGATCTCCACATTTTATAGTTGGCGCAAATTGTAATTATTTAAAAAGTTCAAGATTTATCTTATTAGTTCAGCACATCATAGTTGTTGCAAAGCTCATGACATGAAATTAAGAGTATAATGTGTCCTTACCCTCAATATTTAGCTCAAAACATATGTGGCAGAAAGAGAGGGTTTCTTTGTCTGTTCCCAGTTTGCAAACACTGCAAATGTTGTCATCATTCAAGTCAATGCTTACAAACTGCTCCTCTTCGTTCATAGTGCCCCTATTAAGGAACAAAAAAAAAAAAAGTTGCACTATTTCATCAACTTTTTATGAACCCATTATTTGGCACTTCGAGGGAAAAAGAATGCTGTATAACAAGAGTTCCATCAAAGTGTCAGTGTCACTCTTATACTTCAATAACACTCTTTGATTGTAGGAAGACACAAAGCTAGTAAAACGTAAAACTTAGCCATGCGTGTCATTAATAGCCATGTGTGGTTTTTTTTTTTTTTTCGGTTCTCTATTTTATTTAGAGGAGACCTGAAAGAAATGCATTCTGACCTCGAATAACAAAGCACAAAAAACACCTCAGCATGAAAGGCCTTTTCTGCTACCCATTTCTGTCAACCCACTTAGTGCTGTTAACGCAGTAAAACAGCAGAGTGCTCGGAACTCCTTCGCTAACTTCATTGTGTGAACCTGGAAAGCCAACTTGGCTCAGCCAGGTTTCCTATCGGAGATCGGCGGCAAAACAGCACGTGGAAACGCACACAAGCGGGGCGGGTGTCCCGGCCGCGTCCACAACATCGGTGATCAGCGGCTTGGGCCATGCACGGCCCGCGGAGAGGCGGACAAGACAGGACGGGAGAGGCTGTGGGGTCCCGGGGAGACAGGAGCGCCCTCAGGCTTCTTCCCACCGCTGAAGGGGTCTGAGGCCACCCCAGCCAGCCGGCCCGGGGTCGGCGCTTCAGGGAGCCAGGTTCCCGCCCGGTCTCGGGCTTTCGGGGCGCACCCCCACCTCTACGGAGCCCCGGACCCTCGTTCCTCTCTCTGTTCACCCGTCGGTGTGGCCCGAGCGAGAACGCGCGAGGGATCGCGAGGATCGGGAGTGCGATGGCTGTGGGGCCGACGGTGGGGGCAGCAAGCGGGGCAGGGACAACGGGACAGAGGAGTGGGATGTTTACCGTCCAGCTCCGCGTCCCGCCGCTGCCGTTCCGCGGCTCGGGCTCCTCCACTATTGTTTCCGGCCGCTACCGAGGCGGCCGTCGTGAGCTCGGCTCCGCCCCCTCCCGATGGTGCGATCCTGCGAAGTCGCGGGGGAGGTCGGAGCGGCCGCGGACGCAGGTTTGAGCTCTCAAGCCGCCCACGAGATGGATTCTCCCCTCTTGCAAAGAATAAGCATCGTTTACTTTGATATCCTTGTGATTCTGTATCTGGTGCTTCAGATCTTTCACCGTTCTCTGGAACGTGGCTCCTTATACTCCCCTTCTGGAGGCTCACAATAGACGGGCCCGTTAACACCTCCCCCAACAGCGTAGTGGAAACTACAGCCCCGGGGCGGAGGGGAGAAGGGGCGGGGCCGGGAAAGTGACAGGAGGATGGTGGCAGGGAAAAGAGGTGCAAGGGTTCCATTTAGTTTGAAAAAAATAAGCTGGCACAAAATATCAGTAACGTTTAGGGTTCAGCTGAGATATTTAGTGAGGAACAACTTTATATTTCATATATCATAGTTTGAAGACAATTTTAAAGACGGAAACCGCTTTTAAAAAATGTTTTACAAATTACTTTTAAAAATAGGACGCCCCCTTTTAAAACGTGGTATTTCCCCGTACACGCCTTGGAGGATAAACCTGGCGGTCCTCCTACTTAGGTGTCATCCTTTTTAAAAGTAGGAAGAGTAATTAAGATTTTCGCCTGATCACTTTAAACCATTGTTTTGTTTTGCTATAGCTTGTAGTTCAAGCAATACTTTTGCTTCCAATTTCTGTTGTTATTCTTACAGCAACTTGGAGAGAGATCAAAAGCTGACCTATGTTATAAAACTGAACAGAGACTTAAATCCATACTGCAGATATATTTTTTTAACCATTATTAGCATCTGTTCTGACCAAATCAACAGAAATCAGGATGCCATACGTACACGTCTTCAAGAACTTAATTGCAAGGATGAATTCTGTGAATTTTAGAACCTCTGGACTACATTGGCACTCAATATAATCTATTAATATGGCGGAAAAGTGGTCAAATTGTTGCTACTCTGTGGTGGATAAACCAAGTACCTCCTAAATCAGAACCTGACTTTTGAAGAGATTTCCCCAAGTGATTCCTACTTAAAGTTTGAGAAGTATTGGCTTGGGCTTAAACTATTTGGATTTTTCATTCCGGATTCTACTTATTCTTTCAATAAAATGGCTTTCTAAAATGACAGAAACGTTCCTTTTCAACAAGTCCTTTTTAGTTCTCAGACTTACCTCCCTTTCTGTGACATTTTATATTGGTGCTTGTTGTTATGTGCCGTCGAGTCGCCTGTGACTCATAGTGATGCTTTGCACAACAGCCCTAAAACCTGCTCTATCATTTGCCAGTCTTAATGTCTCTGACACACCTACTCCCGTTACCCCAGTCACTGAATCATCCATCTCACCTAGGGTCTTCCTCTCTTATGCTGTCCTTCCACCCTCCAAGCATGATGTCCCTCTCCAAGAATTGGTCCCTCCTTACCACATGTCCATGAACCTTCAGAATCCTTGCCTCCAAAGAGTAGCCTGGTCTCACCCTCTCTAGGACAAACTTGTTTGTTCTCATAGCAGTCCACGGTATATTCAATACTCTTCTCCAGCACCATAGCTCAAAGGCATCAATTCTCTTTCAATTATCCCAGTTTTCTGATGGATAGCAAGTAATTGCAAATCTATGGCCTGGATCAGGCACACCTTAGTCTCCAGACTGACATCATTGCTCTTCAGTACTTTTTACATACCATAAAGTCAAAGCAAAGCAACTGGTGGGTTCCAAAGACATACCTTCAGGATGGCAGAACAGTTTCTTACCACTATGCCACCGAAGTTCCCAGTGACTGTTCTTGTTAAGTGCCCTGGAGTCTGAACAGTCCAAACTAACTTAGTCCAGGAGCAACAATGCCTTATTTAAAAGGGATGCTTTGGTGAAAGTAGACTGAAGCCCAGTTGGTGTTAGCACCTAGCAAAGAGAAGAAAGAGTAGGGTATTTATCCATTCCATGTTGACTGGTTTGGGATAGTCACAGCAATTTCCAAGGCCTGAAGTCGTTTCCTTCTGTACTCTCTGCTTTATCTCCTAAAGTAGGTTATAAAACCATAATTAGGGATAAACAATCAGATTATTTACTATTTTCTGGAACACAGGGACATATTTGGGAATGGTCAGGTCAGAAAAAAGGGATCTTTTTTATTTCAACCTTATAGAGTACAACTCCTAGAGACTCTATGAATAGCAGACCTCAACTCTATTCTATCTTGTGCCATCCTCATAAACTCTGACACACTTAAGACCATTGCAGTAATCACCATGTCTATCCATTTAAAAATCTTATCTTTCTTTATGATAATTTGTTACAGAATTTGCATTTTAAGTGTATAGTTTGAAGAATTTTTTAACATGAGCATCCCTTAACTGTCATGATTAAGATACAGAACATTTCAACCACCATTCTGAATTTGCTTCATCTTCCTTCTCAGTCAAACCCTCCCACAACATTTGATCTAATTAATATCACTAAAAGTGACCTGCTCTAGACCTTCCTATGCAAGAAATTAAACATGTATTATTTTGTGGTTGGTTGTTTTAAACATGTATTATTTTGTGGTTGATAAGACTTTCGAGATTTAGCAATTATGTTGGGTGTAACAGTCTTCTTAGAAATAGTAGGAAAATAGTAGAAGCTCTGGTAGCACAGTCTTTAAAGTGTTGTGATACAAATTTTAAGTCTGTGCTTCTCTTGCTGTTTAAATCCACCAGCAGCTCCTCTGGAGAAGTGGAGAAAAGATGAGCAATCTCCTCTAATGTGTTTTATAGCTTCCTGAAAACCCACTGGAGGGTCAGCTATGAGTTGATTCTGACCTGAGGGCAAAGCATTGAGCATTCCACAATTGGGAGTATCTGAGTGGCTGAGTTACTAGGGTGTTGCACTACAACCTCAAAGCAGCACCTCTATGGAGGGAGAAAGATGAGCAGTCTTCTCCTATGCAGTTAAAAACTTCCAAAAATCTGGAAGAGGGTCAGACTCAAAAGCAATGAGTTGCAAGAAATGAGGATATCGTAAATTGGTAAGCAATAGACTGAAAGGTTGGCTGTAGGAACTCACTTAGATGCTTCTGGGAAAAATCAGCTGTTAAACTGCTTTTGAAAGGTCACATATAACTTAAATCATTATGAAGCAGTTCCATTCTATGTATATTTGCTCAGTATGAATGTGAATCTACTTAACCACAAATAACACTCCATGATCAGTTCATTCACTTGTTAATGAACACTTAGATTGTTTCTAGTTTTGGATTATTGGCACAAAGTTGTTATAAATATTTGTGTACACTTGTTTTTGGTATATAAATCTACATATGTTTTCTTTTCTCATAGTTAAGTATTTAGGAATAGGATTCCTGGGTTACACGGCAAGTATTTGATTAATTTGAGAAGAAACTGCCAAACTGTTTTCCAGTAAATTAGGCTCATGAATGTGTTCTTGAATTGATCCTTCCATAATTATAAAGCATTTCTCTTTTCTATTTCCGTTAACAAAAACTTGCCTTGAAGTTTACTTTGTCTGGTATTAACACAGTTATTGCTGCATTCTTGCAACTGATGTTTCCATATATGCATTTTTTCTCTTTATATTTTCTTGTGTTTTCATGTTTAAAGTGGTCTTTTTTTTTCTTTTCTTTTGGTAGATAATATGGTTGTGCTTCTTAGCTAGGAAAAAGAATTGAGAGAGAGAGAAAGAAGCTGGTCCCACGTAGAGAACAGGCCTTTATTAAGTAGATCTTAGAGAGATGTCAAGTGACTGAGCACAAAGAAGATCAGAATGGCATGCAGGCAGGCAGTTTCCTTTAATAGGGGCTGTTAAGGAGATTTATGGGGGATGGTAGTTTGCTCAGGAATTTGGGGGTAGGGTTCTTGTCAATATGTGATTGGGTCCAGGGCCCAATTAGGCTCTGGCCATCTGGGTGACCTTGCCAGGGTATTCTCAAGCAACAGTCAGGGTCAGGCTTTGTGCTAAATGCTTCAGGTGGGCAGAGAATCACAATATTCTTCCTCCAGTGTTTTGCTTCTTATAATGAAGTCTGGTAATCTCTGTCCTCTAGTTGCTGTGTTTCTATTATAATTATTTTGTGTAATTATTGATTTGATTGGTGTTAAGTCTGCAATTTTTCTATTTGACTTAATGTTGATTGCTTCTTTATTTTCATGATTAATCATTTTGATTAATTTTTATTAGTGTTCCATTTTATCTGCTATCAACTATTTACTTGATTTTTGTTTATTTGTTTCTTTGGGGTTTAATTATTTTATCATTATCTTATCTCAGTTTACCTGAAATAATAAGTATAATTTCGTATTTCATGTAAAATATAAAAATTTTACCAAACAACAATGAATGAATTCTTTGTTATTACATCCTCTTTCAGGTGTGTAAAAACAACCACAAAAACACATTACCGTTGAGTTAGAACCAACTCATGAGTAACTCTCAGGTGAGCTTTCTAAAGTTGTAAATTGTATGCAAAGAAATTGTCCATCAATATGTAAGAAGATGTTTCATCATTCTTGCCTCTATGGAGCATTCTGAAACCACTTCCTCCAAGACATATTTGTCCTTTTGGTTGTGACTGTTGTTATGTGCCGTTGACTAGACCACAACTCACAGTGACCCTATGCACAGTAGCTCTGAACACTGCTCTATCTTGGGACAATATCACTGTCCATGACACACCTACACCAGCAAATTTGTAAATCCATCTCATTTGGGAGTTTCCTCTCCTGCACTGCCCCTGCACCCTACTAAGCATGATATCCTTCTCCAAGAAGTGATGCCTCCTGGCAACATGCCCAAAGTATGTGAGAGAGAGCCTCAAATCCTTGCCTTCAAGGAACAACTTGGCTTCACCCTCTCCAGGATAGAACTGTTAGTTCTCTTGGTATGTTCATGGTATGTTCAATACTCTTCTCCACCACCACAACTTGAGAGCATCAATCCTT